ATCTTTCTCTTGAGAAGTCCCTGGTGGTTTCAAACTGCTGACCTTTGGATCGCAGGCCAATATGTAAACACTATGCCACCCGCTTTCAAGTGCTGAAAAGCAAGGATGTTACTTTGAGAACTACAGTGTGCCTGACTGACGGTATTTCCGGTTGCCTCCTAGGTATATGAAAGTTGGACACTGAATAAGGGTGGCGAAAGAAGAATTGATGCATTTGCATTACGATGCTGGAGAAGAATACTGAAAGTATCAAGTACTCCTACGCCTGAATGCTTTTGATTTGGAATGAAGGTGTAGATCTGTACCCTTCCACAAGCATACACATACACACACACAACACGCAGGGTATGCATATATGCTATGTGCCAAAGTCAAGAAAGAAACAGGGTAAGTTTAATATTAGTTACAGTTGCAATTTATATATTCAGCATTTACAGTTAAAGTTCTATGCACTTAAATAACTGGTTCTACTCACGACGCTGAAAAAAGTATAAAAATACACTGTCACTCAAAACCCCCAATTCACTGCCATGGAATCAATTCTGACTCACCGTGTCCCTGTAAGTTTCCAAGATGGTAAATCTTTATGGGAGTAGAAAGCCTCATCTGCCTCCCTAGGAGTGGCTGGTGGTTTTGAACTGCTGGCCTTTGCAGTTAGCAGCCCAGTGCACAACCACTGTGCCACCAGGGCTGGATTCAGTTCCATCTCACGGCAGCCTGTGGAGCCCAGGGCAGAATGCTGCTCAAGGCTGTGACCCTTTGGAAGTGGAATTGCCAGGCCTTTCCTCTGCGGAACCTCTTGGTGGCTATGAAACTTTCCATCAACAGTTAAGCACTTAACCATTTTCATCACCCTGAAACTTAGTTGAACCTGATCCTGTACAGGGTTCCTGAGGCGCGATCTGGATGGAAGCGGAGAGCCTCATGTTTGTCCCAGGAGGGGTTGGTGGGCTTGAACTACTAGCCAACACCTACCCAGCACACCACCAGGGAGCCTTTAAATATGCTACAGAATGTTCCCCCAAAGTCTAGAAACTGGGAAGGGATTATTTGCTGTAATCCCCCTACCCCCCCCCCAACTAATAATTGGACCCAATACTTAAAATTTAGACATTTCACCCCCAAATATCTGGAGTTTGAAGAAAAACAAATTTAACATATTAGTTGGACACGTAAAGTAACATACTGTTTCATGTAAGCTAAACATAAGCTGATCCTGTGTTTCCTGATTTTGAGGGCACTTTAAGGATAAGAACCAACATATTTTGAGGGCCTATGATTCGGAAATTCTATTGAGGGTTTTATTGAGTGATTTTCTATCTGTGCAAATCAATCAATTAAATTCAGTGATCCCACCCAACCCAGAGCTATCACAATCAATTCTGACTCAGGGTTTCAAAGGCTATAAAGCAGAATGGGAACAGATCACTCACTGTGATCAAGTGAATTCAGACTCATCATGACCCTATAGGGCAGAGTTGAACTGCCCCAGTGGGTTTCCAAGATGATAACTCTTTACAGGAGTGGAAAGCCTCATCTTTCTCCAGAGGAGTGGCTGGTGGGTTTGAACCAGTGCCATAAACCTTGGAGTAGCAGTCCAAAGCTTACTCACAGCACCACCAGGCTCCTCTAGAATTCAGTGACAATAGTCCTATTTTGTGGATTAAGAAACCAAGGCTCATTGGAAGACTACAAACCTAAAGGCCAGCGGATGCATATGAATATGTAAGAGAGAGAGAAAAGAGAGAGAGAGAGAGAGAGGTGAGGCAGGGTACTTCGCTGAATAAAGAATGCTCAGTTCAAGCCAGTTGTTGCTAGGCAGGAATTCTGGCCCAGATTTGCCAGATCTTTTGATATCCCCCCACTGAAGCCAGCAATCTGGACTTGTGCTGAAAACCTCTGATTTTCAGATGCTGGGAGCTAAGTGAAGCCCTGGTAGTGTGACAGTTAAGCATTTGGCTACTAACCACCAGAAGGTCAGCTGTTTGAACCTACCAGCTGTTCTGTGGGGAGAAAGATGTGGCAGTTGGCTTCCCAAGGAACACATGCTCGAAAACCCTACAAGGCAGTTCTACTGTCCCATAGGGTGGCTGTGCACTGTAATCAACTTAATGGCCACCTTTTTGTGAGGGGTGGTGGGGGGAGTGGGGAGGGGCAAGTAGCTAATCCAATTTTTAAGTATGCAAACTTGCCAAATAAAGTCAGCAGCAGGCCTCTTGTTTGCAAACTCTGAATTTTTTTTAAAAAAAACCAACTGCTTTCTCACAACTAGTGAGCAAGTGGGGGAAAATAGGAAGGTCAGTTTGCTGTCTTTTCCTTCCCTCTGAACATCATCAAGGCAGCTGCGCTGATGAACTGAAGTGTTGTGTTCAAGAGTCAACTCCGAAAGCCACTGGCTCTGTGTACGTGGCACGAGGCTCTTCCAGGACACCCAGTGAGCAACAGACAGGAGAGATTCATGGGAGGGCAGCATGGAGCAAAGGGGGTGGAGCTGGGGCTCCGCTCTGAGTCCTTGCTGACGGCAGACATGCCAGTTCCGAGCTCTGCCCCCACCTTCTGGATTTAACACCAGCAATTAAAATCAAGAAGCCCCTGTGCCCTATTCCAAAACGACAATCTAATTTTAAGTTCCAAATCTGAAATTGCCCAATGTGCGAGGCCTCCCATGAGTCTCTTACTTACAGCATCTCTAGAACATACTTCCTACAGCAGGTGGGGTAGTGGGTTGTGTGTGGGCAGTGGAGTTAGTAGATGGGAGGGAGCCCTGGTGGCGCTGGGGGTTAGGCATTGGACTGCTAACCACAAGGTTGCTGGCTCAAGCCCACCAGTCACTCCAAGGGAGGAAAGATGACTCTAAAACCCTGTGGGGACACCATGACTCAGAATCAACTTAATGGCAGAGTGTCGACTGTAGCAGGGGGGCTGCTATGAATTGGGAGTCGCCTGTATGACCACGGGGTTGGTGTAGTTAGTTCGATGGCAGGAATATGCTTCTAACGATACTTAGAGGCACCACCAGAGTAGCCTTCCCGAGCCCCCCCAACATACCTTAAGACCCCTGCTGTCACTGTATTACAAAATCTCCAAAGATGGACAGGGCTGTAGCATTTAAACCGGGATTAACATCGCGCTTCAGCGTCTGCCTGACTCTGAACTGTGTAAAAGGTTCTTGTGGAACAGCTCAGCCAACCTGCCTCGCTGGAGAATTAAAGAGCAGCACGCATGCACGCACGCCCAAACTGCCATTTCTGTGAACGCCTGAGCAAGTCACTCAGCCCACTGGCCCAGAAGGCTGGACTCCTTTCGCTTAGTGGGACAGGCTCCAAGCCACCGCCGGCCTCCCAGGCTGCACAGCTGGGCAGCTCCCTGAAGGAGAGCGTGCCTTTGCTCAAGGTGGCAGTGGGTGTCCATGTGAACCACTGAACTCCGGGAACATGGCTGACACTGCCAGGCCCGCCCAACAGCTGCTAGTGAGTAACACCCTCGGGTTACTGCACCCCCCACCACCCCCACGTCACCCTCGGAGCCCCGGGAAAGGTCAGCTATTCAGGCATTAAGTCTTTCAACATCCTTCCAGAGCCAAACTTTGAAATATGCTGTTTTATGGCAACATGGATGGCAACCCCAAACATGCTGCTTTCCCAGGAACGGCGCAGGGATTCAGCTCCATGCCTGTGCCAGCAGCCACCTACCTCCACAGGGGCAGCCTGCTCAGGGAAAGAAAGCTGAGGAGGAGAGGCAGTCATGGGGCCCTCCTTTTAAAAAACCCTATATAGACCGATCAATTGTTATGAAACCACACACCAAGGGCCTCCTCTTAGAAAGGATCCGGCTCTGACACCCTAAGGCATGCCTCCTTGTCCAGGGACACCAGCAACCACCTCTTCAGCAGTGTCACAGGGCAAAGGGCAAAGGCCTTAGATGTTCAGACCCCGCCCCGCCCCGCCCTGCACTGCCTTGCCTTACCCTCCCCTCCCCTCCCCTCCCCTCCCCTCCCCGCAATAGCAAATTGTCAACGGATCTTTCTACAGAGGGTTAGCCTGTATGCCCAAGTAGGACCGGGGGCGCTCCCACTTTCTCTACACGGAACAGAGCCCGCACAATCGGCTGACCGAGGTCCCTGGGAGTCGCTAAAGTCCATTTTTTACACTGCAGATGGCTTCCTGGCCACACTCAGCTGTCCAGCCCTGGCTTTAGCTCCCCCTGGACGCGCCGGCCCCACGCAGCACGCAGGTCTGGGTCCGCCCAGTCCCCACACTGTGTACCACACCTTGACCTCGGCCAGGACCACACCTCCGCGATATCCAGAGGCCAGGAGGGCGCGACCTCGGTCACACCTCTGCAAGCTCGCTCCTCGGGAAGGCTCCCTAGTCGGGAAGTTAAACCCACCAGGCAGGACACACTCAAACTCCGCTCCTTTGGAGCTGGGCTATTTTAGACCTCTCTGGGGACCACACTTGGCCACATTTAAAACCACCTTGGCAAGCACACAGCTAAATGAATACTTAGTCATCCTGAAAAGGCTCTAGGTAAAGTGTGCCGCTCCCCGCCCCCCTCCCCAGTTTTCGGACACTTCGTTCCCATCCCCCTGGGGCACTAAATAAAACGGATGCCATCCGACTGTCCCCCGCACAAACGCCTTCCCAGGGTGGAGTGGCCCCCCACAGCCCGCCGCGGGGTGCGGGAGTCTTGGGGGCGGGGCGGCGGAGGGGCGGCACCACTCCCCGGGATGCCACGCACCGGGGCTGGCGCTGGGCTCCCCCCGGGCCCGCCAGCTTAGGGCTCTGGGTGACTTTGGGAGGCTGGGTAGAATTAAACCGCGAGAGCGCGTTCAGCCTCGACGCGGCTGAATTATTTAGAGGAGGAAAGAGCATCTCATCCCAAATGCCAGCACCCTTTCCTTCCGGCCGAGTTGCAGCGTCCTGCAGGCCCAGGAGCACACTGCCCGGCCGGCCAAAGGCTCACCCCCAGCACTCGGTGGGAAGGGAGGCGCCGCTAACCTGTATGCACTCTGTAATGGGCTTTGAGATGGGAGGATTTTCCGTAGACTTTCCCGCAGCCGCTGTAGGGGCACTTGTGCCTCTTCTCGGAGGCGTGTTTCCCCTTCGCAGCCATTCCAGGGTGGAGGAGGGAGAGCGGGCTGGGCGCGCGGCCAGGATCCTGTCTCTCCTCCGGGCTGTGGGAAGGACTCGACCCAGATTCGGTGGTCACGTCGCTGTCGGATCCTACATCCTCATCGGGGCTCTCCAGGCTGTCGCTGCATACCGAGGGGGTCTGGATGGGTCGGTACTTGTTCAGGTCCAACAAGCTCTTGGCGATGGTGACCAGCGTGCAGTAATCCTTCCAGGTGTCCCCCGGGTCACCGTGCTCCTTGGTCACCTCGCGCTCAGGTCGCCGCAGCCGCTCGGCGTCCGGGGCGCCCCCGTGCTCGGGCACCGCGGCGCGGTTGGAAATGGAAACCAGACACTGGGCGGCCACGAAGTCCATGTAGGCGGCCGCGGACATGGTGCGGGCGACGGCAGCCCCGGCGGCGCGGCCCAACTTCGCGGTGGCTGCGGAGGTGCGGCGCTCGCCCTGCCCTGGCCTCGGACGACGAGCGCGGCGCGGCGCGGCGCGGCGCGGCGCGGCGGCCAAGGGGGCGGGGGCGCGGGGCGCTTCCGACTCGCAGGAGCGCCGCGGCGACCTCAGCCCCTCATCTTTACGTAACCGGCAGCGCCTCCGCACGCAGCATCCACTGCCCCCGGCTCCGCCGCGATCCCCCCGACGGGCGCGCCGGCCCCTCCGCGCCGGCTCCCTTGGAAAGATGCCACACGTGGCGGCCGCAAGTTTATTCGACTGCAAACGCCCCCGAGCCGCTGGACCAGGAAACTGCCCGCGGGGGCACACGCCCTCGGCCGCCCCTCCGTCGAGCCGGAGCCCCAGGGCATTCACTGGACCGCCCGGGCGCGGGTGGGGCGGGCCGCAGCCAGCGCCAGCTCTATGGGACACTTCGCCCCCAGCGCACGGACGGCCGAGCCCCCGCGCCTGCCGGTCCGCACTGTTCCGGCATTCTCTTGCTCGGTAACAATTTCGCAGAATCCCAACACGTCACAATCCGAACCCCCTCCCATTGGCCAGCGGGGAGGGTGATTCAACTCTGTTTACTTTCTCCCCCTGCCACTCAGCGCGGCCTTTCGGCGGCGAGGTGCGTCTGGGACCCAGGCGCGCGGCCAATCCCACTGTTCCCTTTCGGTGCCTCGTGCTACCCCTACAGCCCCGATCGCCGACTTTTAAAAGGGTAATAGCCGGAAGGCTGCGGGGAGGGTGGAGGGGGAGTGACGCTCATACCCCCCTCCACCCAAGAGGGGCGCGCTCTCGGAGGAGCCCGCCACACCTCCAAGTTCACAGGCCAGCTTGCGGAGCCACGGGGGAGTGGGGAGACCCACTCCCCCTACTTAGTCGCGCTCTTTCCCACCACCAGAGAACTTGAGCTTCGGGTTTGCAGCTCACAAACAGTTAAGTGACTTCCTGCAAACGCTACAGTCCCAGCAACCGGCCCTCCAATCAAAAGTAAGTTGGTTGATGTCACTGACATGAGCTCAGCCAATCAGAACGGCGTTCCAAAAGCTCGCGCCCCGCACTCGTAAACGCTACCGAGCTGCTAGAGGGAGACCGGACCCATCCTTAGATTGTGCGTTGTTAGTAGTAAAAGTGAGAGGTGTATGGGAGGGCACGGGAGGATGAATACATGTGGCGTGAAGCCAAAAGGTTAACAACAAAAATAAAAGCAAACCCAAAACGTGGCAGACAAAGTTGTGCAAGAACAGAATCACATGTAACAGCATCAATCCATTTCATATATTCGTTTTTGGTTGGTTTGTGGGTGCAACACACTCTGGAGAGGGGGTGTGGTTTTCGTTCTACCATCCAGTACATGAACTGCTAACCCGTTCGCCTTGAAAAATGCAGAGCTGATCACAAGTTCTGTTTTAAAGCATCATCTTCCCACTAGTTGTACCTTGAAATAGCCCATCTTTGTTTTTGTGAGACGTCTTGATCCCTCTGTGCTCCTGATGAAATTTATTTTCATTAAAGTGTTTTCATTTCGTTCTGCAGCGATTGCAACACATCTTCAAAGAAATGGAGACTCTCCCCACTTTTGCATAACTTCTAAAAAATCACTCCTCCTCGGTTGATTTTCTTCTGTAGACCCCTGCATGGCTAATAGAGAATGTTCCTCTTCCCTGACTTTACATGCATATGCGGGGACCATGGCAGGCAGAAGCCACTGGTCCACCTGACCAAGTCAGTTGAGACAACTGTTAAGGGAGACCAGTCTCCTGATGCCTAGCCCTTTGTGCCTCACCATGACTGAGCCCTTTGGTTGGGTGAAATATTAATTGTGCTAAACAGACTCTTCTGAACTGTTTTTGCTCAGTGCCATCTAGTCAGTTCCGACTCACCAACAGAAGACAACAACGCCCAGTCCTGTACCATCTCACGATTGTTCTGAAGTTTGAACCCATTGTTGCAGCCACTGTGTCCGTCTGTCTTGTGTAGGGCCTTCCTCTTGTTCTCTGCCCCTCTACTTTACCAGGAATTGGGCTCTTCGTGAACTAGAACCACCCAAAAGTCCTTAGCTGTGATTTTGTGGCATTAGTTGATCAACAGCTAGGTCCTGGCATTGGATTGCCTTTAGTGGCCTCTCCCTCTGAATGAGTAATGGAGCTGTTTTCCCATCTTCATAGTTACCAGAAGAATCCTAGGGCTAAGGTCTTTGGCAGGAGGCACAGTGACAGCTTGATTGATTAAAAATACATGTACTTTCCTGAGTGTGATAGGTACTTGTATATACCCATGGCCCAACGGGTGGGAACCTTTGTTGTCTGAGATTTGGTCAAGGTTCTGGGTTCCTAAGGGACCAAAACCAAACTCAATGCCACCACTGATGTCGAACTGCTGACCTTGTGGTTAGCAGCCAACACAACCCGCCCAGATTAGGAGGCACTAGAGATTAGTTTTACTTGACTTATAAGGTGATACAGGAAAGAATATTGTAATAGGAGACTGCATGGAGGAAGGAAAGTACAGAAAGGGGGTGTTGGTCAACCATCACCATCATCATCGGATCATATGTACAAGGGAAGGCACTGAGAGTCTTTGAGATCTAATCTTAATTTTAAAAGAAATTTCTTGGTGGTCTCAGTGATGCCATCGGGTCAATTGCTACTCGTAGTGACCCTATAGGGCCAGTAGAACTGCCCCTGTGGGTTTTTGAGACTAACTCCACAGGAGTAGATAACCTCATCGTTCTCCTGTAGAGTGGCCAGTGGTGTCGAACTGCTGACGGTGGGGTTAGCAGTTTCACCTGAGCTCCTTAACACACTCACTGCTAAAACAGAAAATGAGAGGTTTTCTCCCACCCAGAAGTACCCCCAAACGATGACCTACATTCAAGAGTGTTAGGTAACTAGCTTAGGAACAGGGGTGTTGTCCCTCCCATGCCTGCAAAGGCCCCCATAAAGGAGGTTGGAAAGCCATCAGGCAACCATTAGACACCTATAAAGACGCCAAAGTGAGCATGCACAGTCACACCCCCCCTTGGCCCAGGTAACATCAGTATCTTGGACACACCCAACTTAGGTACATCACCCAGGTGGGCCTAACTCAGGCAATGCGGTCAACCAATACCATCAACCAGGCCACCCCAGCCAGAGGTTTGAAATATCCTGGCTGTGGGAAGGCCTCGCTCTCTCTGACCCTGCTCCTGGTCAGCAGCAGTTGTAGGAGGAGGGTCTCCCTCCCCTCTGCAGGTGCACATGTGCCCACTCCGGTCCTACTTGGGGCGTACAGCCTCTGGGCGCACAGGCTCTTAGCCTCTAGGGTTCTTGGCTTCTGGCCTCCAGGATCCGCCCCACTCACGCGTGGGTGTTCTTTTCCACGTGGTTGTTCGTGCTGTTATGAACCCCTTTGAGACTATAACATCTGAAACTTGTCCTCCATAAAAACACACTTGGATCACACAACGTACTTCGGCGTGAATTCTTTCATTGTGAGAAGCAAAGAACGGAGGTATTACCCACTCCAGAAACCGAACCAGAGTAGCCACTAAAACTCCTGTGGAGCACAGTTCTACACTGACACACGTGGGGTAGCAGTGAGTCAGAAGCTACTCATTGGCAACAGGTTTTAATTTTTAAGAAGAATCCACTGAAGCCCAGGGGAGTTTGCCTACCTCATGGTTTTTCTGGGACAAACTCAGTGTCCAAAGATACATGCTTAGAACGACACCTCTGCTCACCTCTTTAAGGCCCAGCAGGAATACCAGTGCGACTAGGGAGATCTCTCCTGGATCCCTGCCATCATGGATGGCCTGTATGGTGTCTTGGACTTGCACTTTACGGAAGCAGCCAGCCTCATCTTCCTCCCTTGGAACTGCTGATGGCTTCAAATCGCTGACCTTGCAGTTAGCCTCCCTATCCGCAGCCCCCTATGCCACCAGGGCCAGCCCTCAGACTGGCATTTTATCTGGGGAACTGGCCCCTTCAGTATTAACACTGGGGTTGTTCTAGAGAAGTTGGTCGGAATCTTCTGGTGAAATCAGTCACCTTAGGTTCTCTCAAATGATAAACTCTTCCTTCCTCTGGAATGTTCTTTAACTGAATTTTGCTTGCATGGGCCATGATGTTGCGCTCATAAAATTCAGAAGAATAAAAGTAACACAACGAGAGTGTGATTCCATCCACATGAATTCCTCTTCCCACTTGCAAACCTGCCTAACTTGATTTAGGATATATGTCTAAACCCAACGTTGAATACTCTTCTTCCCCTCGCTCATCCTTAAGATATTTGTGTTTGTGGTAGGGAGCTAGGGGTGGAGGAAGACCAAAGTGAAGAGTCCATTCCCCTGAGGTGGATACATTAAAACACATATATATCAAAGAACACAGATCAAAGAATAATGATTTCTACATCAGGATCTGTCTTGCAGTTTCAAAACACAGGGTTTCCTTGCTGTGTTGGGATGTGTATGGGAATAGTTTTATGATTAAAACCAATTTATGCCGCTTTGTCAGCATGTGGTTGTCTGGATGCAAACTCTGGCCAAATTAGCCCAAATTAATATGAATCATTCCTAATTAAAAAGACTAATTTACCAGTAAAGTATATATTACGTCAGATCAGTAAAGGAGCTCTGCGCGCCCCCCTCCCCCCCACCAAGTTAGTCTTACACACATTTCAAAGCTACACAAACCAAAGGGGAGGAGCATGAAAATTCAAAGATTATAACTGTGCTTCTAGTTTACAAATATGCATTTCCCTATCTAAGTTCTGCCTTTGTTTTCTCATCCATGGCTAATGGGCCCGAAGCCAGAACATAGAAGCCTTGTATCTCCCTTCCCTCCCCACCCCCTGTTTCCTGATATAATTATTATCATTATCACCTCTATCAAGAGGTGAATATGTTCTTGCCCACAGGGAACTGTTTCTTTCTGGATATCTAGACAGCAAAGCAAAAGAGTGTTAGCTTCCTGGGCCTGATAGGAACTGCATGACCTTAGGCAACCTCCCCGGTTTAGGCGCGGGTTGATGGGAATAGAGTCAGACTTCTCCAAGGTCCCTTCCACACTCGAAATACTGTGCTGTCAAGTGCTGTTGAGTAGGCTCCCATTCGTATGGACCTGAAGAATATAATGGGACAAACAGTGGCCCGGTTCTGTCCCTCCTCACAATCATGCCTACGTGAGCTATTCTTGCAGCCCTTATGTTAATCCCCCTCCACGAGGGTCTCCCTGGTTTCCACTGGCCAGGAACTTTACCAAGCATGATAGCCTTTTCTAATGAGTCTACCCAGTACCATCTGGTTGTACTTCCTCCAAAACAGATGTGTTCTATCTTCTGGTAAACCAAGGTGTATTCAAGATTCTTTCCAACAATGCGACCCCGATGTGTCCATGCTAGAGTATTCCTTTTTATTGTCCACCTTTCAAATGCAGGTGCGGGGATTGAGTAGAGCAGAGTGGGCATCCCATAATCATCACAGGGGCATCTTTGCTTTGCAACACTTCAATGGGCTGTTTGCAACCGATTTGATCAATGAAATAGATGCGTTGTTTATTCTGATGGCCAGCTACTTGGGGTGTTGGTTGTTAATCCAAGAAGCAGCAAATTCCTGGCAATTTCAACGGCTTCACCTTTATCACGATCTTGTTTATTGGCCCCCTTGTAAGAGTTCCCTAAGGAGGGAAAACAAACAAACAAAAAATAGATGGGGAGGGAAAAACTGG